AGCAGATCACTGCTGCTTGTTTCACACTGATAAGATTTGCTGGTTGCAGCAGCAAAGTGGTGCCAAACCTTCAGGGGAAAAGGTGCGAGTTACAGTTCAGCAGCTTCAGGGTGTCACTGAAAATGCATGAACTTTGTTTGCAGACATATTGTGTAACGCTTTATCTGTGGAACCGTCAAGCCAAGTGGGCTGACGGGCTGGAGGTAGCAACAGATTAAAAGCTTCAGGCTGTCCTGCTCAGAGTTTTTAATTCAGTCTTATTCACAGGCTGAAGCCGACCACTACCAGATCAGATTAGGGGTCTGGGGGTATTTTACAGGAAGTTGCAGATCGTTGCAGATACGTGAATGTGACCAATGATCGTTTTAGTGGCTGATGTTATGAAGCGATCGCTGATAAACCTTTTGAACTGATTACAGATAAACTATTTAGATGTCAAACAATCTAATCCTGGATTCTCAGCAGTGGCCAGCATATGAAACAGCAGCAGTTATCTGTAAACACACTGACTGTATGCTGTATTCTATCATCTTCCCAGGTCGGTTCCTTCTTCATGATCAACCTGTGCCTCGTGGTCATCGCCACCCAGTTCTCAGAGACCAAGCAGAGGGAGCATCAGCTGATGCAGGAGCAGCGAGCTCAGTGTTCGTCCTCGTCCACCCTGGCCAGCGAACCGGGAGACTGCTACGAAGAGCTCTTCCAGCTCGTCTGCCACGTCTTCCGCAAAGCCAGGAGACAAACTGTCGCCCTTTTCAACACCCTGCGAGGGAAACCTCGTGGCTTTCGTGGCGTCGGAAGAGGCCGAGGTGGAGGGGAAGGGAGGGAGAGGAAGGCCAACGGACGTGGAGGACGGGAAAGAAGAAGAAGAGAGGTGTCGAGGCACGGTACGTTGCTGGAAACGTTTACGTAGTATTTGGCTGCATTGTTTATCCGCTAAAGCAGGGGTCTCGAACTCCGGTCCTCGAGGGCCGCAATCCTGCAAGTTTTAGATGTTTCCTTCTTCCAACACACCTGATTCAAATGATCAGGAT